AAAACAGGAGATGAAAATAAATGAATAGGCAGCGCAGAAAGAGGGAAGATGAAAAGAAACATGGGTAGGAAGGAATTTGTAAGGGAAGAAAAATTATGTAGCTGTGGGGGCAGGAGCAGAACATTGTACAGCCCAGAATGTTGCTGTTCCCTGGGAGGTTTCTGCTGAGCTCTTGACATTAGTGCCTGCAAAAAACAAAGGAGGGCAAGAGAAGCCTGATTGCAAGGTTGCAATAATCAAACCATTCATTTCTGTCTTGAAAATGATGAGAAAAAAGGTAATTGGATGTATTGTGCTTTTCAAAAAAAACCTGATTTTGAAATGAAGGGAAACCTTCAGAAAACATTGCCAGTTAAATAGTATGGTGAATGACAAAGGCTGCAGAGCAATATACTTGGTATTATAAAGTAACTGTACTTGAAAATAACTTTATAATTGAATAAGGGTACATTAAGAAAATATGATTCAGAACCAATATTATAGTAATTAGATAAAGGAAGCATAAATGAAATAACTGCAGGAAGAGTATTTCCATAGAGATTATAAATGAGATTTTGGTGGAGCAGAAAGGCCTTTAATTGTAATTTAGTGTGCACTACAGAATTATCAGCACAGTGTGTTAGTTCATCGTATAAAAGAATATCTGATAATTTCCTCTAATAAGCACATGACAGTTCTTCACATTCTTTCATTACAGCTGATTAGGTATAAAAACAGTATTCTTTTGTTGGACTCATGTTCAGATCTTTTATGAAAAAGCAAGACACTGTAACCCTGTTTCTATACTGCTGTCCTACAGACATGGTATTTAGAGAGGCCAAAGTGGTACTTGAGTAAGTTTTTAAATCTTTATTCTGTTGTTTAGTTTTTAAGCTAGTTTATTTAAAGTCAGTTATTCTCGCATTCATTGCAAACACTAAATTATAGCATAAGTGTCTGTAAGCAAAAAGAAACCTAATGCAGCAGACAGCCTAGCTAGGTTGCCTGACCTGTGCCAAGCCCGGCCACTTTGGTCATGGCTTAGATACAACTGCTACCACGGTCGTGGAAGGTAAGGTCTTAGGCACCTAAACCAGTGGCCTTGTGCAAGCTCCAAAGTACTCTTAGCCTGACCATGTTCCTGAATTACCCAGCGATTCATCAGCTCAGAAACTCTGAAGTGGCAGGAAAGCAGATTCTTTAGGCTTTTCCCTAGCTTTCCCTTTCCTAATAATTTTGAGCCAAAAACCATTTAGTTTTGTATTGTTGCAGTGCCTGAAGGCCTCTGCTGAGCTTATGACCCAGCTATGACATTGTGACAAATTGTACCACACCCCCCAAGCTTAAGTGCAAATTCAGAAAATAAATAAGGCCCCATAATTGGAACTAATGAGATGCTTAAATCATGTTATTCTCCAAATGCTAGCTTAGCCTGAAAGTCTGTATGTCAGGAGCATTAAAAACGTACCTTTCAGGAGTTCGTACGTTACCAGTGACCTGCAAAGGACAGGACAAATTACCTAGGCTCCCTAGGATCCTTCAGGCATTTTTGGTTAAAGAATTCCCTTATGTTTAAAAGTACCTTTTAAGTAGCCGGCATTGGTACCACCACTTTTTTCCCTTTGCAATAGTCTAATTCACTGAGGAAACAGGAAAGCTTGGTACAAGGCATTAGTCTGGCAGCTCTCAAAACATCTCCCTCCTACTGCCCTGTAGGTGACCTACTTGGGACCAACTTCTTCAGCATTAGCTTGGGAAGCTGCATGACAAGCTCTTGCCTGCCAAATTATGTATCGGTGATTGCTGGCACTTGCTCGCGGTGGCTGTTGTGGCTTCAGGTCCCTGCTTCCAGGGCTGTTGTGCATTCCACTGGGTAAACTGCGAAAGATGGCCTTGGAACTGGGGTTGTTCCCAAGTGGATGCTCTGACGAGAACCTCATATTCTCTGCTGTGCTTTTTTTTTTTTTTGGGGGGTGTGACACAAAATTTTGCAGGTGCCAGGCAGATGTGGGCTGGGGTTAATGTAGGTTCCATATTAGTACAACCTGACACAGCACACAAGCCATTCCAAGAGCTTGCACTTGTTCTCACC